GACCGGGGCACGAACCCGTGTCCCCTGCATCGGCAGGCGGACTGTCAACCACTGCGCCACCAGGGAAGCCCAAGTGAACCTATTTTAAGTTTGATTTTGAAAATTAATAATTCATACACTGCAGTTTTTTACTCTCATCCCATAATTCGGTTTGAAACACTTCTAAGTATTATGTGAACAAATATTTCACTTTCTTTTTACTTAAAAATCAATTTTTAATCTAAATTATGTTATTATTAATTGTGTTTTGACTATAAGTAAACATGAACATGAAGATGTATCCCTGTAAACATGTTCCTTTAACAAATACCCTGTCCAGTATATGTACTTGTCTCTCCACCCTCACCTTCTTCATTGATAAGGAATTTTGTTTTAATAAATGATTTAACGTCTCTTGATCAGAGGTACTTTTTTTTGTTTTTGCAAGAAATTATTGCTTAAAAAAGAAAAAGAATTTACAGTATGTTCTTACTGGTGTTGAAAGAGACTCTGTCTTTCAAGAACCACTGAGAAATTTTTCTTAAAAGTTGAAAGATCAGCTCATAAATTTGTGTATGTTAGTCCTCTCTAAGTACTCTTGAAGGGTTGTTGTTTGTGTTTAGTATATAGTTTTTAGTCTGTGGATATTGCTCTTTGACTTATGTTGCAGTTCAATTCATTTATTTTATTTTGTTTTCTTCATATAGATGACAGTCGAACTGCAAGCCAGTTGGATGAATTTCAGGAATGCTTGTCCAAGTTTACTCGATATAATTCAGTACGACCTTTGGCTACATTATCATATGCTAGTGATCTCTATAATGGTTCCAGCATAGTTTCTAGGTAAGTATGGGGCAGCATACTATTTTCTTACTATTTTCTTTTGCAGGAGTGTCTAGAATCTAATTGAATTTGAGAAGCAGTTATAGTGTTATGGTTAAGAGCCTCTGTTCTGAAATCCAGCTTGCCTGCCAATTTTTAGCTCTGCAGTCTTAGGCAAGTTTCTGAATCTCTTTAGTCCTCAATTTATCTCTAAAATGTAATGATTGTTAGTATCCGCCTCACAGGGCTGCAGTTTGTTTTCTTGTAATTCTTTTGTGTGATTTTAATGACAGGATGTGCTCTCCTAATAAATGCTGTCTCCTCTTCAGTTTTTTAGAAGAGTTTGTAAAGAATTGGTGTTATTTCTTCCTTACATATTTTTTACAGTTCCCCAGTGAAGCCATCTTGGTCTTGAGTTTTCTTTGAGGGAAGATTTTTAAATACAAATCCAATTTTTAGGAGAGATATAAGGCTAATCAGGTTATCCATTTCTTCTTGATTGAGCATTATTTTTAGTTTGTGCTTTTCAAGGAATTTGTCCATTTCATCTAGGTTGTTGAATTTACTGGCATACAAGTGTTTATAGTATTCCTTTATTATCCTTTTGATGTCTTTAGATTCTGTAATGATTTTTCCTTTCTCATCCTTGATTACAGAAATTTGTTTCCCTTTTTTTTTTATACTTAATAGTCTGGCTTAGAAGTTTTCAATTTTATTTTTCTTCTCAAAGAACCAGCTCCTGGTTTATTGATACTGTTTATTTTTCTGTTCTCTGTTTCATTGATTTCTACTCTTAACTTTATTATTTCCCATTTTCTGCTTTCTTTAGGAGTAATTTGCTCTTATCTTTCTTAAGGTAGAAACTGAAGTAATTGAGTTGAAACCTTTCTTCTTTTCTAATATAGATAATTTGTGTTATAAATTTCCCTCCAAGTGTTGTATTAACTGCATCTCACAAATTTTGATATGATTGATATCTTTTCTTTTTTCCAAATTTTTTTTTATTCTAATAAAATACACATGACATAAAATTTACCATCTTAATAACTGTTCAGTGGTATTAAATGCATTCATAATACTGGGCAACTGTCATCACCATCCATCTCTTTAATACTTGACATCTTGTAAAACTGAAACTCAGTACCCATTAAACAATAACTCCTTGTTCCCTCTTGCCCCTATTCCTGGCAACCACCATTCCACTTTCTTTGTCTATGATTCTGCCTATTGCAAGTATCTCATATAAGTGGAGTGGTGCAACAATATTTGTCTTTTTGTGACTGGCTTATTTCACTAGTGTGGTGTCATCAGTGTACATCCATGCTATAGCATATGTCAGGATTTCCTTCCTTTTTAAGGCTGAATAACATTCTATTGCATGTATATAACACATTTTGGTCATCTGTCTGTCTGTCAATGGATACTTGCGTTGCTTCCATGTTTTAGCTACTGTGAATAATGCTACTGTGAACATGGGTGTAAAACTATCTCTTTGAGACCTTGCTTGCGATTCTTTTGGGTATATACCCAGAAGTGGAATTGCTGGATCAAATGGTAATTCTATTTTTAATTTTTTGAGGAATTGCCATACTATTTTCCACCACGGCTATACCATTTTGCATTTCTACCAGCAGAGCCTAAAGGTTCCAATTTCTCCACATCTTTGCCAGTATCTATTGTTTTTTTGATAGTAACCATTCTACTGGGTATGAGGTTAGGTTTGATTGCCTAGATTTGATTTGAATTTCCCTAATGATTACTGATGTTAAATGTCTTTTCACATGCTTATTGGTCATTTGTATATCTTCTTCAGGAAAATGTCTTTTCAAGTCCTTTGTCCATTTTTAAATTGAGTTTGTTTTTTATTGTTGGTTTCAGGAGCTTTCTGTATATTCTGAATATTAATCCTTTATCAGATTTATACATATTTTCTCTCATTCTGTGGGTTGCCTTTTTACTCTTGATATTGTCTGTTGTCAATGCATACAGTTTAAAAATTTTTATGAAGTCTTATTTGTCTATTTTTTCTTTTGTTGCTTGTGCCTGTGGTGTCATATCTAAGAAATCATTGCCAAATCCCAAGTTGTGAAAAGAGTTTTATGGTTTTAGATTTAGGTTTTTGATCCATTTTGAATTAATTTTTGTATATAGTTTTAGGTAAGGATCTAACTTCATTCTTTTGCATGTGAATATCTAGTTTTCTCAGAACCATTTTTTGAAAAAACTGTCCTTTCTCCAGTGAATGGTCTTGGCACTCTTGTCAAAAATCCTTTGACCATATATGCAAGGGTTTATTTCTATGTTCTCTCTTCTATTCCATTGGTGTATATGTCTGTTTTTATCTATGTTTTTTGATTACTGTAGCTTTGTAGTAAGTTTTGAAATCAGGAAGTATGAGTCCTCTAGCTACTTCAGGTCCTTTGGAAATCCATGTGAATTTTAGGATGGGCTTTTCTATTTCTGAAAAAAAAGTCACTGGGATTTTGATAGGAATTGCATTAAATCTGTAGATCACTTTGGGTAGTATTTGACATCTTAACAATATTCAGCCTTCCAGTCCATGAACATGGGGTATGTTTTCATTTATATCTTAGTTTCTTTCAGCAGTGTTTAGTACTTCTCGTTGTACAAGTCACCTCCTTTGTTAATTCCTAAATATTTTTTTGATGCATGTGTAAATGAAATTGTTTCTGTAATTTTCTTTTTAGATTGTTCATTGTTATTATATCAAGGATATGATATTTTTCATTTTCACTCACTTCAAAACTCTTGTAAATTTCAAATTTCATTTTATTTTGACTCATGGATTACTGAGACATTAGTTTTCAAATATTGGGGTTTTCTAGTTATCTTTTTGTTATTAATTTATATTGTTTTTATTTTCATCATCTTGACCATTCTTTAAAAATTTTTAATAAATTTTCTAATATACATAAAGATGGAAAGAATATAATCCTTTATACAATCATCTCCCAGATTCATCAGTGATCCAAATTTTGCTATACTTGCTTTGTTTATACTCTTCATTCCTAATTTCTTTGCTTAAGTATTTTGAAGCAAATCCCAGGTATTAACGTCATTTTAACTGTATATTCTTAAGAATCTCTATGTCTTAAAATATGGATATTGTATAACCACGGGGCTTTATCACCTCTAACACAATTAGCAGTAGTCTCTTGGAATCATCAAATTGCTAATCTATGTTCAAATTTTCTAGATAGAATGAAGAAGCCTTAAAAAAAATGTTTTTGATGTGGATCAGGAATTTGACAATTTTTAGCTTTTTAAAAATTACTGAAACTACATGTGCTTTTCCATTTTCATGACTGAGATTTTTATGTATATGAATATTGATCTTGAAATTCAGGCCATTAGCTAAAGAGACTATTGCATTAAATCTTATTGTATTCAAGCTTGTTGTTTAACTTGGTAACAAGACAAAAATCATACATTTATATATTTTTCTATATGTTGGCAGTGTAAGTTTTCCTAATCCGGCACTGGAGTGATTAAAGTTTTAAAATGCAGTAAATTGTGGGTTTTGTTTAACTAATTAATTAAGTTAGTAATTAACCTATTTAACAAAAATTAATTGACTACCTAGTGTGGGAGAGGCTAGGAGTGTAATCATGAACAGGCCAGCTTTGATGCTTGGATTCAGGAGAGCTCTCAATTTTATTTCAGTGCCTTTATAGAAGAAATAATACTGATCTGGTATGTACACATTTACTTATAATTATATGGCTCTACCCAACTGAAATGTAATGCAGATTAGAACTCTGTTGTAATAACAGTTAATGTCCCTGACCATTGTGAATTCATCCTATATTGTATTTTCTTCTCCATTTAAAAATGAACAAAAAACCAAAAACAAAATAAAAATTTCCTTCTTAACTTCATATTACAAAAGCAGCATTTCTAGTTAGAAAATGTAAGATTGGTTGTACATCTCTAGGTATTCAAAAGAGTAAGAGCTATTCTTCATTCCTGAAAGCCATTTTAGCTTGATATAATGTAATTTTGTTTTTTAAAAAATAAGTAAACCTTGATCATATAAAGACATTTATATCAGAGTGCTATGTTTTCTGAGGCAGACATTTACTGTTATAGGAAGACAAGATTTCAGTTTAGAAATATAACTTACTGAAAGTGAGATTAGTTATATCAAAATATGTCAAGCAAAATAAAAAAATTAAAGTTACCTTTAGTTGTTTCATCTTCATGTTGACATCCATTCTTTTCTCTTATTTACATTGAATTAACATTTCTGAAGGAAAAATTTCCAATTTAGGAAGTTTATCAGGGAGAACGCTTGAAGAACTATAGTAGGCAGCAGCAAAGGAACATAGTATCCATAGTATTGAAGGGACTTTGAAACTTTCACAATCCTGGTGATTTTTTGCTTTTTCTAGTTTCTCACATTCAGACACATCATTGATAGTAAATTCATTTTAAAGACTTTTAGTTCCTTGCAAATTAGGACATTTAATGAATTTCTTTTGGAAAGAGGGGTGAAGACTTGTTAGAGATGACAAATAATGTTGAATTTGGTGCATTATTTCATTACATTGTAAAAGAAATTATTCTTACTGTAAAATTGCATGACATGTATTTAGTGTGGGTCATTTATTGCAGTGAGAATCTCACTGAGAGAAAAAGCTGAACCGGAAACTTTCACTTTTAAAATTTGTCTTCCTTTGCTTATGGATCACTTTGGGTTATTTAACACCATACTCATGAGTCCACAAGGTGGCAGCATTTGTTTACTTTGACAATGTCTCAGCTAATAGACAATAGACAAGGTATGGAAAGCAGTGGCTTATAGTGAAGTTCATTCTTATAAATACTAGATGGTCCTAGGTTAATGTCACCAAGTAATAGAAAGGATAGAGAACTTTTCTTACACATAGCAATAATGGAACATTTTGCATTTTTTTCTTGAATTAGGTATTCATGACCACCAGAGAGGAATGAAACTTCATTGTTTAAACTTACTGAATACTTAGTAGCAATGGCTGTTG